CAACAGCAACAGTTGCTGCTTATAAGTGAGTTATTGCGTGGTTTGAGCCGAATAACCATTTAGTGGTTCTCCACTAATTCTCTGCTCTCGCAGCATGCCTCAGGCCCAGTTCCCTTCGAAAGTTTACATTATAGAAGGTCGAACCTGATTCAAATTACAAATTAAGCTTTAAAGTTATTTCTAATTGCCTAAATGAGGGTTTCTTTGTGGCTTATTCTTTATAATGAAAACAGAAATATCCAAAGCTGACCAATCATTGCCTGGACCACTTAATACGCAAAGCTTTTATTCATTGAGTTTATAAAAGTTGTTTGAGTAGAGCTAGAATTTCATTGGATATAATTTAACATATTATAGAACTCTTCATTTGTATATTGAAATGAATGGATTTGATTTGACTTTAATTTACTATTTTTAGGGAATACTAAGGACTTTACAGTCCGGAACTACCGAGTCAGGGATCAAGAAGATGAAAATGAATGTATGTAGCTATGTTTTATTTATAGACACATATTAAATATACACTTTTAAAACAATAGGGTTTTCCAGATACCGGAAATATTATTATACAACATACGTTCATGTTGGACCAGACGGTGCGTCCGTCAATGCGGACATTGTACAAAACCAATATATAAAATATATTTAACATAAGCTTGGATATATTCAAAATATTTTAATGTTTGATTGTCTATTTGGTTTCTGATGAATTACTCTATGGTCTCTATTGTCTCTGTTTGTTTTGTGTTTTGTTTTATTGTGTCGCTGATGAGGCAAAGATGCAAACTGGTTTTGTACTAAACTAATTTAGACTGCGCTCAGTCGGAAATTTGAAACTCGAAAACTTGAATAGAGCCATATATTACATCAATTTACTAAACGAAATGAGCGTGTCCCAGTCTATTGTATAAGCAGAATATTTCAGCTTAGCCAAAATACTTGGAATTGTCAATGCAAAATCCATTAAGCTAAACGGTCGTCCGAAGATCTCTCCGTTTGAAGGGAAACTATTCAAACTATAGATTTGATATTCGGAATATATATACATATAATCATGAGCACTTTTGACTTAGAATTTGTTAAGATATGGTAAATCGGGAAATACTTCTTGTG